ATGAAGACGGCCTAAACAGACCAACCACCGACCCGGGGCGTGGCGCGGATCACCGCTGAAGGAGCTTGCGCTCGTCCGGGTCCCTGCGCTGCGTACCTCCTCTTGCACCCGCCTCCCCAGCCTCCAAAGAACCCCTTCGTCTTCCTTATCCCAGCGCCCTAAACCCTATCACCAAAACCGGCTGACCGGCGGGAACCGGAAGTGTGCGCGCCCGGAACGGGTCCCCAGCGGACTCCGCCGGAAGTAGCCATTGCTAGGGGCTGCCTTCGCTCAGCATGGCGGCTATCCCCCCTGACACCTGGCAGCCGCCCAACGTCTACCTGGAGACCAGGTGAGGGTGGGGGCTGGACGGGCCGAGGAGACCCGGGCCCCCGGCTGACAGAGGCCGGCCTGGCTCGCACGTGGACGGCTCGGAGCTGCGGCCGGGAGTACCCGTGAGTTCCCGAGGGGCCGCAGGGAGCCCCTCCAGCGTCGCGGCCGACCGCGGCGACTCCTGTCTGCGGCCCTTTCCCTCCCGGTTCATTAGTTCTTTTATCTATATCCGTCTCCTCGCATTCATTCATTCACTCACTCACTCACTCATTCACCCACCCATTCTCAACAAGTGTGAGTTGAGTCCACAGCCATGCACGCAGGACCTGTACTTTTGAGGGCACCCAACTAGATAAAGCGGTGTGTTATGGTGAGGGACACAGATGCGTGAACACGACGGGGAGAGTGGTGAGCACGGTGCTTTGAGAGGAGAGGAAGACGAATTTTCCCTCCAAGAGTGTGGTCTGGGCGCTGGGGGTAGAGAGGGCCTCCCTCGCCGAGGTCGCTGCCTCCGTCTCCAGCACCGCAAATGTGGTGTGTTTGGCACGTCTACTCCTGGCTCTCTGGAGCTGGCAGCAGGAGGATCAGAAGCTCAAGGTCTGGGTTGGCTGGGGACCGGTAGAACGAACTGGCTCTGGACACCAGGCCGGCCTTGAACTCATTATCAGAGGTCCGCCTGCCTCTGCCTCCCAAGCGCTGGGATTAGAGGTGCCCGCCACCGCTCCTGGGTCTACTCGTAGCTTTCTTACTGTGGCAGATGCTGTATCTGTTGTCTTGGGTCCGTATTTGTACACCCGGACTCTTAGGCAACTGTAACTTTTCTTAGAGGACAGATATTAGAAGTTGAAATTGTTCAGGGACACATTAATTATATAAGTGCTTCATTCTTAGTTATCTGTTGTATTTAAAAAATTCCTGCTAGGGCTGGTAAGATGGCCTAGTGGGTACAGGTGTCTGCCACCAAGCCTGAGGGTGAGAACCGTAGGATCACCGTGTGATGGGAGGAGAGGCCTGACTTCTGACCTGAAAGTCACCCTAACCTCTTTCTGTGTGTCACGGTGTCACGGCACATTCTCTCTCTCTCTCTCACACACACACACACACACACACACACACACACACACACAAAATAATACGTTAATTAAGAGCAGTACCCATCAACACACAAAATAGGAAGGAAAAAAAATCCCACCAAAATAAGCTCCCAAGAGAACAACACCTCAGGTGGCGCCTCCCCACGGTGGCATTGTGACTAAACCTGTGTTGGTTGGTAGCCGTCAGAAAGATGAATTTCAGACATGGAGGCTGCCAGAAAATGCTTTTCTAGTACATCTGTATTCATTTGTGTATTATAGATTTATTTGTTTTGTTTCTTTGAGACAGTTTCCCAGTGTAGCTCTGGTATCCTTGAATTCAATCTGTAGACTAGGTCTCAAACTCAGAGATCTGCCTGCCTCTGCCTCCCAAGTACAAGGATTAAAAAGGAATATGCCACCAATACCAGGCTCTACTGGAGTACTCACACTGCTGGGCCCCCTGTCTCTGGGCCTTATAGACATCCGGTCCCTAGAGCTCAGTGTGTGATGACGTAAAGCATGGGCCCCTTGCCTTGTCTCTTGCTTCTCCCTTAGCCATAGAGGTACTGGAGGGAGAGAATAAAAACCCTCCTACTGGGAGTGTGCAGACATGTGCAATAAACCAGCCTTGGCATCTGTTCTACACATTTGCTTCTTTCGAGGCCAGAGGTATCAGATTCCCTGGAGCTGGAGGTACAGGTGGTTGGGAGCCTTCTGATGGGAGAGCCAGGAACTGAACCCCTGTCCTCTGTAAGAGGACATGAGTCATTTCCAGCCCTGTGTGACCCTCATTTTAACACACAAACTGCTTTTATTTTTCTATTCAATTTTGGCCTTAATAGGTGATATATTTACACGATCAAAAATATAAATGTTAGAAAAGGTATTTACTGAACATCCTGCCTTTTATTTGGCCAGTCACTATCCACCCAACCTATACAAATGTATATAAATTCCCCACACTGTAATATCTTTTTATTAAACCTACAGATGACATGTGAGGCCCTTTTTCCTTGTTTAGGGTTGGTTTCGGAGCATCAGTATATGCGCTTAGAATCTTGACTTGTCTGTGGTTGTTTTGCTTAGAGCATATGCCAGGAGCGGTTCTGTGTATCACACTCGGGTGATTGGCTGTAGCCTTGTTGCTTTGTGGGTTGTTTCCTTCTGGATATGAACCCTGGTCACAGTTTGAGAAGGATGAACTCTGGTCACGGTTTGATGGCTCACAAGGTTGAACAACAGAAGTCCTAGTAACCCACTCTGCTGCTTGCTGTGACCTTGCCATGACCTTGCTGACTGCCTGTGTCGTCTGTCCCAACTGCAGCATGGGGATCATCGTGCTGGAGCTGTACTGGAAACATGCTCCAAAGACCTGCAAGAACTTTGCAGAGTTGGCTCGGCGGGGCTACTACAACGGCACCAAATTCCACAGGATCATCAAAGACTTCATGATCCAAGGTGGTGACCCAACGGGGACAGGTACAGTTAAGCCATCACAGGCTGTCTTATGTCTCACCCTGCCACATCTGAGTGGGAAGGCAGCCGCAGCTTGCTTTTCCATTTGCTGGATCTGGTTTGTTTTTCTTTTGAGACTGGGCCTCATAGCCCAGGCTGGCCTCCTGCTCACTGAGAATGCTCTAATCCTCTGATCTTCCTGACTTCATTTCCTCGGTGCTGGGATTTCTGTGTGCTTCTGTAGTGCTAGGGATTGAACCCAGGGCTTCCGGTACACTGGGCAAGCGCTCTGCCAACTGAGCTGCATCGGTAGCAACACCCCCTCCCATCTCTCTGGCAGATAGGCTATCAACATAGCCCAGTTGTCCTTGAACTCATGATCCTCCTGCCTCCACCTCCCACATACTGGATTGGGCACGAGCTGGCTCTGGGTCATTGATTCTTCTGGTAGTTCCTGCCTTCTTCAGACTCATGTGTGTCACTCACTGGAGAGTAGTCCTCACTCCTGAGCATGAAAGTTCTTCATGACTTTCTTGTGCCGTTCGCCGTTCACAGACGATACCGCCAGAATCCTAGTGACATGGAATTGAGTCAGTTAGAGCAAAACAAGACGATCCCAGGTCTTGGAAAATGAAGTATTAGGTTCCCTTATTAACTTGTTCACATGATATATGTGGAGCAGCTGCTGTGTCAGTGACTCTAAGCTCTCGGGATGCAACAACAACAACAACAAAAAGAGTGCAGGCCCGATTCCCATCTAGGCGAGAAGTGCATGGTGGAGTAGGCTGCTCTGGGTGGAAGTACAGGCATGTGCCCCAGGACCTGTTCACGTGCCCTGGGAGCCCAGGCCTGTGCGTCCCCAGCCCAGCACGTTACCTTGGTTGAAGATTTGCTGACAGACTGAACAGGTGGTGCTCCTCAGGAGGAGATGGGCAAGGGTGCATCCGAGGCCCTTGACTGACAGTGAAAGGGGGAGGACTGAGTGTGGAGGGGGGAGGGCTGAGTGTGGATTGGGAAGGGCTGAGTGTGGAGGAGCCGGTTGGACTGGGAGGTCAAGAGCTCGGTCTTTGTGAAGATTTTGGAAATACTTCAGAATCCTCAAGGAGGATCATGTGGGGTCAGAAGTTGGAACTGAGTGTGGGTTAACGGGAGGTCTGGCAGGGAGGTGGGAACTGGGAGCCCCAGGTGCTTAGATGGCATTTTGGTCTTTGTATTGGGGTTCTGTGTCTCATGTGTGTGCCTGCGTATGAGGGTCACAGGCTGACGACTGGTGTCTCCCTGGAATGTGCGACACTGTATTCTGTAAGGGGCTGCTGTGGGGTATTTGTACACTGTGTGAAGATGTGTTGCTGTGATTGGTCTAAGAAAAAGCTCAACAGCCAGCCAGGCAGTGGTGGTGCGCACCTTTAATCCCAGCACTCGGGAGGCAGAGGCAGGTGGATCTCTGTGAGTTTGAGGCCAGCCTGGCCTACAGAACGAGTTCCAGGACAGCCAGGGCTGCAGAGATAAACCCTGTCTCAAAAAACAAAAAAATAAAATAAATAAAAATTTAAAATGTTTATTTACTCATGGTAACTTTTAAAAATATTATTTTACATGTATGTTTTTGCCTGTGTGTATGTCTGTGCCATGTGTATGTTTGAAGGCCAAAATCCCCTGTACCTGGAGTTACCACTGATGGCTGTGAGCTGCCTTGTGGCTATATTCTGGTGGATTTGGCACTCAGCGCATCGCTTATTTTAACAAGGGCTGGGGGCAATGTTTCCTTTTTCAAATACTCTGTGTGTATGTGGTGTGTGTGTGTGCGTGCGTATTGTGTGGTGTATGTGTATGGATGTATATGTGTGTGTGTGTGAGTGAGAGAGAAGGGGGGAGCTTTTCTGGGTTGATTCTTACCTTCTTGTGTAGTTCTCTCTTGTTTGCTGCACAGCCTACTTTGAGTAGCTAGCCTGGAAACTTCTAGCAGGTTCTTCTGTCCCTGTGACCCATCTTGCTGTGAGAGTGTTGAGATTATAGATGTGCATCACCACAGCAGTTGTTTTGACTGAACTTGGGTGGTCAGGCTTGCATGGCAAGCCCTTTTCCCAGCTGAGCGGTCTCTGGCCAGGGTTCCATCTCTTGCTTTTGATTTCGAGGACTGAGGGGGTTCTATTTTGGGGTTTGTTCCTGTTTCAGACTCTGCCTGTTGCCTTTGTACTTTAAAAGAGACCTTGAGTAGGTATAGTATTGGAGCCACCTTCATCCTCAGATCTTTTTTTAGAAAAGTCTAGTCGTAGCCTTCTGGTTTGAATACAGCTTCAGGAAATCCAAGACCAAATGTGCTCCCCTCAGTACAGGGAGTCAGAGCAGCCTGCTGGAGCACTGCCTGACCTGGCTTACTGCGTTCTATGTCTGTCACATTTCCTGTGGTCAGCAAGGTGGCTTTCCCTTTCCCTGCCTTTGCTGACACCCGCTCAGACCTTCCCTCCGCTTACCCAGTTCTAGGTGTTTGCACTGTTGAGTAGCTGTGTTAACTCTATTAGTGCCACTTGGGTCCCCGGCTCCGCTGTGTCTTTTCACCTCCCCTGACTTTCTTACTATGGTCTGCAGAGTCAGCCCTCCATGTCTTGAGGTCCTCAGAGATATTGCCCTCCCTCCTCTTCTCCTGTTGTCCATCCATTTGCTGGGGTCTGTCCCACACCATTTCTGTTGATGTTGGGATCAGCACATATGTTGTCCCTGCCTTGTTTTTGTTCGGGAAGGCTAGCCTCTGCCTTGTCTTCCCAGATTCTAGTAAATTCTGTCCCAGAGTTCCTCTGTCCTCACCCCAGGCTCCAACTCATCCCCCAAATATGACCCTGAAGGTAGCCAGCCCTGCCCCACTTGTGTGGTGAGTATGGGCTTGTGCGCTAGGGCTGTGCCTGGCGCCCTCTGTTGGCTGTTCTGAATTGCAGGCTGGGGGACTCTGTGCCTAGCGCCCTCTGTTGGTTGTTCTGAATTGCAGGCTGGGGGACTTCTCAGGGCCTGGCTCAGCCTTCAGTCATCCAGGTGTGCAGGGAGAAGTGACTTTCTTTCCTTGGTCAATTCTTCAGAATTTTACAAATATTTGTTCCTCTTTATTTAGCAGGGTCTTGGTGTGTAGCCCTGACTGGCATGGAACTCATAGCTCCTCCTGCCTCTGCCTCTCCAGTGCTGGGGTTAAAAGTGTGCAGCACCACGCCAGACTGTTTGTTTCCCTTTATTTTTGCCCTTGAAAAATCTTTGTGTTTTGTTCATTTCACTGGGTATTGAAGCAAGGCAAGGCTGATGTTCACAAAAGTCCTTCCTGACTTTTCTCCCTGTCTGTTCTTTGAAACAGGGTCTCATTGTGTAGCCCTGGGTGTCTACTCACTCTGTAGACCAGGCTGGCTTTGAACGCACAGAGATCCACCTGCTTTTCCTCCTAAGTTCTAGGCTTAAAGGCGTGTACCACCACACCCCTCTCTCCCTTTCATTGCTATAATGAAATGGGTTTTAATCTGTCATGCCAGTGTGCCCAAAGCTCGTGCTGTGTGAATGGGAAGCAACTAGAAGTAAACTCTTGGCACAATGCTCGTCTGTGTCTCTGTAGTTGCTCTGCCATTTTCCTAATGTCACATTTCCATGGTGTACTTTTAATGAAATTGAAGCACTCAAAAGATTTCCAATAACGCTGCAGGCTCAAGTATAACAAATGTTTGCGCAGCCTGCCAGCAGGTCTGTGAGAAAAGCAAGCAGGAGGCAGCTCTCCTAGGCCCTAGACTATGCCTGCCAGCGGACGAAGAGACAGCTTTTGCTAAATGCTCAGGTAGATACCTGAGCAGGTAACATGGTAGGTTGTCAGCAAGTTGGGTGTTTCTTCTCCATTCCTGCTGCATGCAGCCTGGCTACTCAGGAGCCTTCCTCACACCCATGCTCCTCAGGGACATTCTCGGTTCAGGTGCTCTCTGACTTCCTGCATTTCACTCTTGAGCCAGACCCCCCCCCCCCCCCCCCCCCCCCCCCCCCCCCCCTCTACCCTGCCCCTTTCCTCGGCTTTCTGTGAACCTTTTATCTGGTTCTGCTTAACCTTCCTCACCCTCTGGCGTGTCTGCTGACATTTGCTCTGCTCTTGGCCTTGATTAATTGCACAGGGTTGTCTTACGAGGCAGCTTTCCTGACATTTGCTCTGCTCTTGGCCTTGATTAATTGCACAGGGTTGTCTTACTAGTCATCTTTCTTCTGATTTCATCTCCTCTTGGTAGCCCCAGGAACACCTGAATTTGTCTTGTGGAACAGCAAGCCATTGCTAGTTTTCCTCATTTAGGGAATCTTTGCGAGAGTCGGATGGGTAGCCTGCACCGTTTCAGGCTGTGCTAAAGCACAGACGCTGAGGCGTTCTCTCCCGTTATGGAGCTCCCAGCTCCACAGGAAACAAGCTGTTCGTTTTAAGAAACAGGAACATGGTGACGGCATGAATGTGCAACTTTGTGCTGGCATCGTGTGGTTGTGTGTATCAGGTAGGTTGGATACCATGTAGTGAGGGACTGGTGCAGTGGACTAGGGCCAGCCTGGAGAGGAGGCCTCATGGATGAGCCTTGCAGGAATCATAGAATGCAACTCTTGGGAAGCCAAGGGCAGGCACGGGGTGGAGTTGGATGATTCTGACCTGCACGGATAGAGAAGAGGAGAGGAGCAGTTTGAGCAGATTGAACACCTGTGGGAAAAGCACGGGTCAGGGTAAGAGGGGCCCAGATAATGCCGACTCCGCTGGCCAAGGGTGCCGGTTCAATTCGGCATGATCAGGTTTAATTTGGCACTAGGGACTCTTGTGACAGGAGTAAGATGAAAACACCTAAGAAGCTGAGTCCGGCTGGGATCCATGACAAGGTAGAGTAACATCCAGGTGCCAGGCAACAATGGGGGGGCCCAGTGTGTTAGATCCGAGTCCTGCCTCACGCAGTCGCTTGTCACACATGTACAGCTTAGGTGGAGAGCATGGCTGTCCATTCCTCCTGGGGTTATTGTGGGAGCTACATGAGCTCATGCTGGTCATATGGTTGGCAAAGGCTTGGCACAGAAGCAGTGCAAAAGATTATTTTGGTTAATCCACTTAGTTCACAGGTATCTGCTAGACTCCTGTCGGCTCTCTGCATGGGCTGCAGTCCAGCAGGGAGAAAGCCCCAATGAGACGGTGGAAGGTGATCCGTTCCGATGGAGTGCCAAGTCATGACAAGTGACTTGAAAATAGTGGCTGTAGGTGGGAGAGCAGAGTGTCTTCCCTTGGCATTATCGGTTGAGGCGACAGCTCTGATGTGGGCTGGGCTGGCACTGAGGGATGTTTAGCAGCTGGCCTGCCTGGCATCTACCCACTAGATAGTAGACCATTCAGTTTTGACAACCAAATATGTTCCTGATATTACCCAGTGTCCCCAGGCCACAGGATGGAGCAGTGCTGTCTGGGGTAGTGCACATAGGAAAGGCCTCTCTGATAAGGTTGAGTAGACTCTGAGTACCAGAGGCAGTGCAGGAACACTGCAAAGGACATCACTCAGGCGCCTCAGAGCAGGCTACTCGCCAAGACACAGTTCAGGAGGCAAGCCACAGCAAGGCAGGGAGGGGACAGTGACCACAGAGTGTCCTGTGGGGCGGTGGTGTGAGTCTCTCCTGAGTGCGGTAAAGTGTGGTGACATGCACACAGGATTTCAAGCAGGGCAGTGCAGGCTCCCCAGCCTCTCTCTACATGAAGAGGCTGCCTGTGGAAGAGGAGGGTGGGGGTGGAGTCCAGAGAGGGCCTTAGTTGTCGGAGCTAAGATAGTTGTAGTTTGGACCAGGGTAAAAACAACTGTTTGATCCTTGGAAAGCAGATACCCAGGCAGTTAGGTGTTCAGAGATTAACTAGGGGAGACAACCAGGGAGAAGAGATATGTTTTCAGGACACCACAGACTGTCCCCTGAGAAAGAAGGTGCCAATGGAGAAGGAGCTGCCAGAGAGGGGGATACCAGGACAGTCCTGGAGAAGGGCAGTACTAGCTGTGAGAGGCCTGGGGCCTCAGTGGAGCCGTGGGACGAGTATGTATGGGGAGTCCTCAGGGCAGAATGAGGGTGGTGCTCCCTAACTCTCAGGCTGAAGTCAGAGTGAGGAGATAAGCCATCTGCCCATGTGAAGGGGACCCAGGACAGGACTGTGGGGCTGGGCCTTTGCTCTCATTTTAAGACAGGAAGAGAAAGCTGAGGCAGGAAGGGTGGCTGTGGGCTTCCTCGCAGGTGGTGGGTAATCTGACAACATCTCAGAAGTAAGGGAGACATGCCAGGGAGGGAGAAGAGCAGGGGAGAACCAGGATAAGTGGAGGACGGGAACCGGCCAGGCTGACTGCTGGCCACTATAGATGGTGACTGCCTGCTGTCCTTGTTAGTGGGTCCAGCATTCCTGATAGCTTCCGTGCTCACTTCCTGTGTGCCTACATGACTTCTGAGAGTCTCTGCCCTACTGTTACTAAGTGGCTGTGTCATTAGGTGGTACGTTTGGCTCTAAGTAACCAACATGGCAGTCATTGTGTCTGTGTTGTTTCTCCCACACTATAAAACACCCTCAGGAAAGCAGGGTTCTCATTGCTTCACTTCCCAGCACAGTTGTCGAGGGCCAAGCCTGCTGCATGTTCCTATGTGCCCCTTTTAGTCTTTGACCTTTGATCTTGGACTTGTCTTATGGTAGCAAGAGGGCTGCAGCTGCTTTTGAAGGAAGATGAGAAAAGGCAACAGAAAATGCATAGGAGAGGGCTCGTCTGCATTTATTTGGAGGGTGCTGGCTTCTTGGAAGCTTGACCTAGTGGGCTTGTTTACGCTGTAAGACAGAACTGGGCCATGAGCCTCAGCTAGCTGCAAAGGAGCCACCCTGTCCTTGTCTTTGAGGCCAGAGAGGGTGGGGGAAGCACTGGGAATGCCCAGGTACAGTGACCTGAAGTGTCCCTTGGAGGCTCTGTTGGTCAGCTGACCAGGTGTCCAATGCCCATGTAGTCCTCCTTATGGACGCTGCCTGCCATGGTTCCTTTTGGCTTGGATAGGAATCTGCTGCCTGTCATGGGTGGGATAGGGACAAGTGGCACCAAGCATGGTGACCCCTGTGTTAGCCCACGCTTCTTGTGTCATGTCTTAGATGTCAGTCTGTTCCTCTCCAGGATTCTGGGGGTGGGGAGCACTGGAGAGTCTTGGAGATAGATTTCACCCGTCTGTCTGTTGTCTGTCTGTCTCCCCAGCTGAGACAGCGAGAAAGGTGATTTATTGTACATGAGTAACAGTTGGCCACAGGTGAGACCAGAACTGGTCCAGGATGCCTCAGACCCAGGGCTGTTGCAGTTGTGAAGCAGGGAGCGGATGGTGACTCTTCCTGTGTGATGCTGTTCCCCTGTGCACATCACTTACCACCATCCCTGTCCCTCCCTAAGCTGATAGCTTTCCCTTTCCCTCTCACTTTGGGGAAGCAACAGCCACCTTGGATCCTTCTACAGCAGGTGCCTGGAGTGGTGGGTTGGTAGAATTGTGGGCAGTAAGCACAGCAGGGAAGGTGTGTTGGTAACAGAGTCTGCGGTAACAGAGCCCCACTGGGCTTGGGGCCTGGGCACTCTTGATGGAATACTCCAACTCCCTGTCGGGGCATGAGTGGAAGGTTTCTGTAGGGGTCAGGTACACCATGCCACTGCCCCTGTTCTGTTCTATGCTTCCTGCATGTTGACAGTGAACATTCATTTAATGAGCAAATGTTACTGTTTTACCTGAATGAAGCCAGTGACCGGAACACTGTAATGTGTCTACTGGTGGCTGGGTTGCTCGCTGCCTGCAACATCCCTGTGCTCTGAAAAGTCCTTTGACCTTGGGCTCTTCTTGTGTGGTAGACTGTGGGGCTGGTGGGTCACTACTTGTCTTCTGATTGGACAGGTCGCGGTGGCGCTTCTATCTATGGCAAACAGTTTGAAGATGAACTTCATCCAGACCTGAAGTTCACTGGTAAGTATGTGATCTGGCTGGATGGGCAGGAAAGGGAATGCATAGTGAACGCTTGCTTTTTTGGCTGTGGTTCAAGGTACGTGCTTGACACCATGGCATGGCGCCAGACAGCTGCCCAGCCAAGGCGCCACAGAGTGCCCTGGCAGATGAAAGAAAACAGCGCCTCTAGAGAGTCCTTAGCGATTCCGAGTGCCGGCCTGTGTTCTGGACTCTACCCACTTGTTAAATGCTGTAAAGTAAAGGCTCTGAAGCATCCTCACAGGGAAGCAAGGCCTTGGGGCTCTTGAGAGGAATGAGTAACATGGGCCAGTGGCCAGCAGTGAGGAGCAGCAGTGGGCCAGTGGCCAGCAGTGAGGAGCAGCAGTGGGCCAGTGGTCAGCAGTGAGGAGCAGCAGTGGGCCAGTGACCAGCAGTGAGGAGCGGCAGTGGGCCAGTGGCCAGCAGTGAGGGGCAGCAGTGGGCCAGTGGCTGGTGAGGAGCGGCACAGGTGAAGCTGGACAGAGGTGGAGGTAGAGGCAGCACGGCTGTTGGGGTGCTGCAGGAAGAGTGGGCAGGCTGTGGGCCCTGGAACTGGGGTTAGAGACGAGGGATCCTTGCTCATGTTCTTCTCGCTTCTCATCTCCCCCAGGAGCTGGGATTCTTGCAATGGCCAATGCAGGGCCAGACACCAATGGCAGCCAGTTCTTCGTGACCCTCGCCCCCACCCAGTGGCTGGATGGCAAACATACCATTTTTGGCCGAGTGTGCCAGGGTATAGGGATGGTGAATCGAGTGGGCATGGTGGAAACGAACTCCCAGGACCGCCCTGTAGACGATGTGAAGATCCTTAAGGCGTACCCTTCTGGGTAGGTGTGATGCTGTCGGGGCACACCCAGGTCTTCGACGACGGTCCTCTGTGATGAACCATCTTCCGATGGCAGAGTGCCATGTGTCAGTGCACACCTATGCTGACACCCTGGGACAAATGAAGCAGAGGGGACGTCTTTGGAGGCATTTGTATTCTGGTCAGCAGTCACAGACTTGAAAAGCAGGCAGTGTTGAGGCATTAACTGCACAGCCCCTTTCAGCCTCCGTCATGTGCTCTTCCAGGAACACACACAGCTTTCTACTTTCCCTCAGAGCCTGAGCATCAACACTGCCGCTTCTGACACTAAACATCCCACGCAAAGCCATATTGAATTTTTGCCAAATGAAAAACGCATCCAACAATCAAGTTGCTAAGAAGGTGTCGAGTGGGGAATGATAATGCTTAATGATGGAGAAATAGGTCTCTGAAAAGGAAACAGAAGCGTTGACCTTTGCCCCCTGGGAAGGACTGGCAGTGCACTGAAGGCCAGTCCTTCAGGAGCCTTGCTCACATACACTGACGTTTGTTAGGGCTTTAGAGAAAGTAGGTAAGAGGTTTTTATACATGACATGTTTGTTTTTTTTAATCTTTCTGGATTTACAAGGGGCATGGGGTGGGAGGGAGGGTGTTAATACCTGTGTAATACATAGTCATTTCCACAATAAAGTACCTACCATTGGTGTCTGAAATCAGAGCTGTGATCTTGGATTCTTCTAGATCCCTGCCCTTGAGACTATAGGGTGTCACTCTATAGTATTTGTGGGCCTTACTATATAGACCAGGCTGGCCTTGAACTTGGAGAATACTTTAGCCCTAAGTGCTGGGACTAAAGGCATGCTCTTGGCCATTTTAGTGTTGATGGTGGTGAGGAGTGTTGTAACATTCCTGTCTTCAAGATTCACACTCCTGGGTTTGTGTGTGTCCTCCAGCTTCCCCCATGCAGGAGCAGCTTCTGTTGAAAGAGGCAGAACCAAAGGAAGCCTCCAAGGGATGTCAGCTAGTGTTCTGAGTGAGGGCTGAGCTAATGGTGAACCAGACGAGTTTTAGTTTGCTCTTCTACTGCTGTGCTAGGGCACCAGCCAGAAGCTGCCTGGGGCAGCAAGGGGTTGTTTCATCTTCCAGTCCCAGGCCACAGTCCATCATCCAGGGAAGATGGGACAGGAGGCACCAAGACAAGAACGAAAGTGATGACCACGGAGAGACGCTACCCACTGGCTTGCTGGCTCAGCCACCTTTCTCAAATAACCCAGGCCCACCTGCCCAGGGGTGGCCCTGCCCAAGTCACAGCCTGCTGTGCCCTCCTCTATCGGTTAATAACCAAGAGGACACCCACAGGCCAGATGCAGGCAGTTCCTCAGTTACGTTTCCTCTTCCCGTGTGAGTTGATTAGCTGTCACAGGTGGGTATGCTATTGGGCACAGTCTTCCCTGAGGCAGTGCGCTGTGGCTTTGCTTCCTTACCTGGGGAGCCTCTTAAGGTACTGTGTGCCCCAGTGTCGTTGTCTTACCTTTTGGGAAGTGACCCAAGTTGCATTCCACAAGCCTTCACCTTCAAGCTCTTTCTTCTCTCACCAATGAAAAAGCCTTGCGATGTCCAGAAGTCAGCAGCCATTAGGTCCAGGAAGGGTTCATTGTCTTCCATTTGTCCAGGGCTAATGCACTGTATTAAATGTGTAAGGTCTTATGTGCATGGGTTTGAGTACAGAAACTAAGAAAACTGTCTCAATAATGAAGAAAAAGGAAAAGCCCTGAAAATGGCTTCGGCATGCAGAGTCCCATACTCTGTATGTCTCCCAGCCTGGAGCTGCTTTGCAAAGCAAAGCACAAGCCACCCACTGGCTACCTCACAGAACTATAACTATTGGACTTTTCCCCTACAACACAGGGCCTCTAGGAAGCCTGAGGCGCAGATACCTGCCTCCTGTCCGGGAGCTTGCTTAACAGGATCCTGCTGAATTAGCCTGTGAGTTGTGTCACTGTGTCAGGGTAAGAGCCATCAGACTGTTGGTGTGACTGGGGTCCACTGTCGGAAGCGGGGAGGGGATTTATGGTAAGCACCCGTTTGTGACCGAGATAGTAATGAAGGAGGCAGTGGGACTTCTGGGACTCCACAAAGGACGGAAAAGAGGCAGCCTTTGTGGGAAGAGTGTGGAGCTGGAGAGAAGGTTTGAGGTTGGGAGTAAATAAGCCAGTGGAAGAAACCTTCAAACAAATGTCTAGAGTAAGGTGTCCTTACTTGTGCAGCCTGGCCTGTCACAGGTGGCTGTCTTCGTTGAGGCTCTGTTCATTAACCCTCAGTCCCCTGGAGATGGTAACTGCTGGTCCAGATGCCACACTTTGTTTGAGTAGCAAGGTCTAAGGTCATGTTTGCTCTGACATGAACCTGAAGAGGCAGCTTTAGCAACCATGCAGGGTGAGCAGGCCCTTGACCCTGTGGTCTGCCTCCGAGGACCTCCTCTGTCTCTCCTGGCTGGAGAGAAGGAAAGCCCAGGCTGGTTCCAGCATTTCTCACTTAAGCTGCTGAGATGAACACCAGGGACAGTGCCCTGCTGTGTCCCCTTAAGTGCAACAAGTACCACAGTGCCTGAGGTGGGGCAGTAGGGGTCCCAAGGACCCTCATATGGCTGTGAAGCGACCTGGAAACATGTCTTTATTTATGGACCATGTTGTTTGTGACAGGTTCATATGTATCCCAGGTGGCCCTTGACTCTTTGTAGCTGGGGATGACCTTGAGTTTCTGATCCTTGATGTGGGATGTCTTTCTGTATGCTGTGAATGTGTTTACATGTGACTGTGTTAATAAAGAAGCTGGTTTAGCCAATAGCCAGGCAGAGTAGATCCAAGTGGGAAATCCAAGCAGAGATACAGAGAGAAGGGCAGAGTCAGAGGAGACTCCATCTAGCCTCCAAAGGAGAAAGATGTCTGAGCATCACCTGTAAGCATCACAGCCATGTGTTGATACACAGATTAATAGAAATGGGTTAATTTGAATGTAGGAGCTAGCCAATAATAAGCCTGAGCCACCACCAAACAATTATAATTAATATTAAGCCTCTGAGTAATTATTTTATAAGTGGTTGCGGGAACTGGTGGGCAGGAGAGGAACGTCCAACTTCAAATCCTCTTAACTCTACTTTCTAAAAATCAGGATCAGAGGCCAGCCTCGAACCCATGGAGGTCCTTGAAGATGGGATCACACTACTGCTAATGGCAGAACAGGTGTTCAGAGCAGGATCAGGTACTGGGAACACTTCTTAAAGTCAGCTTTTGGTAATAGTAGACATTAAAGCCACTACACACCTCTTCAGCTGTGTGTATGTTCATGCCTGTGTGTGTATGTGTGTGTGTCTATGTGTGTATGTGCGTGTGTGGTGTATGTGTGTGCATGTGCATGTGTGGTGTATGTGTGTGCATGTGCATGTGTGGTGTATGTGTGTGCCCCTGCTCCTTCATTCCACTCCAGTGCTGGGATAGAACTCAGGACACCGCTTGCTGAACAAGTGCCCTACCACCCCTCCCCTCCAACCCCCAGCTTCTCTATGCTGGTCTGCCAGGAGCTTGCCCTCACAGCCACTCCCCTCCCTGCTCTGACCTCAGAGCAAGGCCAGGCCTTATTCTTATTCCATGCTGCCTTCCCAGCACCTGGGGAATGCTTTGAGGTTGTTGCTGAGTGCATCAGATAAAATATTCTCCCATCAGGAAAAGATGGAGGCTCACTGGCAGAAATAGCTATGCCCAGAGTCACGGGCCCGGGCTTTGGCTGGCGTGGCTGCAAAGCCTTTTCCACTCAGCCCTCTGGAAGTCCTCAGTTTATTTTTGGACTCTGTCTCCAGAATATGTCAAAATAGCTTTTCCCACAAATGGCAAATGGCTCCTACCCCCAGATCTTGGAGCCAATCTGAGTCTCCCTGTGGCCCTCTGGCACCACACCGCAGGCTGTGGAGGAGGAAGCATGACAAGCACATCTGTTCAAAGTCAGCGCCTCCTGCCAAGAAGCACTTGGTGCCCTCAGAGCCACACTCCATAGAATGGGCGCCTGTGATTCAGAGAAATGCCAGGACAGGGGACGGATGTTCCAGCAACTCTGGACGAAGCACAGAGGGAAAGCAAGGGAGGTAAGGCTGGTTTGGTCTCAAGAAATTGGGTTCCTGTTTGTTTTTCCAAACTAGTGATTCAGAATCTGTGGTGGTGAGATCCCTTTCTCCAGGGAAGAAGAAAATGAGACTCCCACCTGAGTTGGTGAGGGGGCTCAGTGGTTAAGAGCACTTGCTTCTCTAGCAGAGGACCAGGATTCAGCTCTCAACACCCACATGGCGATTTACAACTGCCTGTAACCCCAACCCCTGAGGACCCAACACCCTCTTCTGGCCTCCATGGGCTCATACACTCATGCACATACTCAAGCAAGCACACTCAAAATGTTAAAGTAATCATTTTAAAAAGATCTCTGCCTTCAAACGTGTGGATGCAGGAGTGCGAGATCTTTGTGTCACCTTGGGGAACCTCATGACATCTGGAATTTGGTTTCCTTGTTCATCAGGCTAACATCTGAACTAGGCCTTTTGAGCTTCAAGTCGAATGTAGGTCAATTTGGGAAGATTCCTCCTGCCGCCAAGTTTGCATTTAGCATGCTATTTTGGGAGTCTGCCACTAGAGGCCACTATGAATACAGTTTAGCCTTTCAGCGGCTTCAAGAGGCTTGCCAACACCTTTCATGGTTTTACTAAGCCAAGGCAGCTGCTGTCGAGATGTGGAAACCAGACTGCTCAGATTGCGATAGACTAGAATTGAGATGTGAGCCCAGCAGAGTGAGCCTAGGAAAGCTGCACGGGTTGAGATGTTCCAATCTTCTGTCAGGCAGAAGCTCCCGAGTCCAGGTTGCAGGAGGCCTGAGCCTGGGCTTGACTGTGTATATACCTGGTCCTAAAAATCCAGCTCCTCCCCTGTGCCGTGAAGTCATTCTTTCTAAGGTAATCCAGAGCCCCTCACTGACACCAGCCAGGTAATAATTTCCCTTGAGAAAACAGTTCAACTTGTTCAACACCCAAACCAATCTCAGAGGTTGCCCTTATTATACCCATTTCTGGATGAGCAAACTGAGGACCAAAGCCAAGTATCGCAAAGCCCAGTAGAGTGAGTGAACAGATGGAATAATAGGCCCAGAGCTGCTAGCTAGGAACAGACTTGGGGATTCCTGGCTGTGAGTTTAGTTCTCTCAGTTGTCCCCACCTCTGCTACATAGAGGGAGGAGATGAGGTTCAGGAAAGAGCTGGTCTCTCGGGGGTGGGGTGGGGGAGTGGGAAATTGGGCTCGAGGTGGCAGGCGGCACTGGATGACATCACCCTGCCTGCTCCTCCATCTCAAGCCCCTTCCCAAAAGCAGGCCTTCTGGGGCCCAGGGCACAGGTAACCCTAATGAGCGGGTTGATTGGGTCATAAGCATAATAGCCACACCACTCCGCCCTGCTCACAGAAGTCATTATCCTCTATGAGGGCCTGGCCAGGCTCTATTAAGAGCTGTGCCCTGTGTATTTAGTACAGGCAGAGGCGGTGTGTGGGAGGGGCCAGGAACCTCTACTTCCTCATTAACTGACAGAAAGAGACCATTCCTGGGTTGACATATAAGAAAAGCCATCCAAGGAAAGAGAATCCAGGGTTCACGGTTGTCTTCAGCCACAGTCAACACTGAAGACTGTACTCTGTGTCTCCCTATTGGGATGTGGGACTGAGAAGGGTTGATGAACCCATTTGGTGGAAGACTGTACACCCCTGGTGCCAGTGAACCCCCAGTGCAGGGTGGCAAGATCCCCTCCCTCCTCGAGGGATGGCTTTGTCCCTCTGTCACACTGGAAACTCACATCTCCTCCTTTGCCCCCTCCTCCTGGAAGCTCAGACAGTAACAGTTTTTTGAGCCAGAATTGGTCAATGCTTGGTCCTTCCCTGACCTCGTATTGTCCACACTCATGCTAAGCCCTGCTGGTCTAAACACCTGTGATTTATTTATTTATTTATTGTGTGCACGTGTGAGTGTGGACGTCTGAGGACAGCTAAGGGCTCTGGGGGACGATGCTTTTACCCACTACTAAGGGCTCTGGGGACAATGCTTCTTTTACCCACCAAGCTATCTCACTGCGCTTTTATGGCCCTTGCTTCTCTAGGGAGCTCCCAGCAGATCCTCTTACTGGAATCTTCCTGCAGACACTGGAGGAGATGCAGGCACACTGAGCACTTTGTTAGCCAGTGCATGTGTGTCTGCATGTGCTGCACTAGAGCCAGGTACCAAGTATGTGCCACAGAACTATACCTCTGACCCCACTGTCTGCGATCCGAGGACGGAGGGAGGTGAGAAGCTGTCCTGGGCCATGGCAGCTCCTGAACCTGAGACCTGAGCTCCCACATGGGCACTGATGGGATTACCAGAGAAGCCATTTCCCTCAATCAGGGCGGCAGCTCGTAGCCAGAGGTAGAGGAGACAGGCCACCAAATGTGCCTGATGAGCTGCTGGGGGTGGGAGGAGAGCTAATAAACTCAGGCAGCTGAAGACTCCAGTAGGCAGACCAGGGCAGGGCCGCTGGGACGTCCACCTGCACACAAAGACAGGCTTGTGGCGTTCTGTGCACATTTCAGTTACCTCCACAGCCAGGCAAGCAAACATGAGTGGTTTGGCATGAAAATCAATTTAGAGCTTAAGGAAGGAAAAGGAAATTTCATCCTTGGTGGCTTCACAGGCTGCCCTAGTGCAGGTACAGCCGGGAGAGAGGCTAAGGTGCTGGTCTGGCAGAACATTGGGGCTGTGGGGCGGTGACAGCCTCCTCTTCTCCCCTCCCCATTTTTAGGTGCCTGAGAGAGGGAGTACCAGGGTCTTTTGGAGCCAGTTAGGTGGAGTTCCAGGGATGGGATTGGCCAAGAGGCTGTGTCTCCCTGCTCCTCCTCGGCTTGAGTGTGCCAGTCATGCTTGCTGGTGGGAGGCTGGCAGTACAGGGAGGGGCTAAGTTTGCTTTGGAGATTGAGAACAAACGTGAAGAGTCTTCCATTTCCTAAGATGCTCAAACAAGGGGAGACAGTCTCACAGGGAGCAGCCAGTTCTGAAAGCCCCAAAGCAGGCCAGCCTGCCACACCAAGGAGGGGACTGTTTTCCAATAGAATTAGGAGCTGGGGGTGTAGCTCGGTGGCAGAGTGTTTGCTGGTATGGGCAAGGGCCTAGCTTCCATCACCAGCACTGCAAAGAGAGTTGGGAGGGAGAAGAATGGAAATTTAGACCCAGCAACAAAAGAGGGAGGGCTGAGGTCTTGCAAGGCCAGGCTGTGGAATCAAGGTAAGGTGCCTCCTGCCCTGCACCGAGGGGAAAGCCGTGGGGAAAGATGCTGCTCCCAAGAGAAGCACTGGGTCAGATCCTGAAGTCAGGCTAATCCAGAAGAGTGAGCATCAGAAACTCGGAAAGGCCAGAGCACTCAAGCTAGCTGGTGTGGAGCCTGTCGGCAGGGGTAAGGGAATGGGGCTCATTGTGGGATCAGAAACAGTACATCTTTGTGTTAATGAGATGCAAATTACAGCAACCATCCTTCATAGGAGGAGCCCAGGTAAAATAACTCATGCCTATAATCCCAGCAATCGAGAGGCTGAGAAGGAGGATAGCCTAAGAGATCAAGGGCTACACAGTCAGATCAAGGCCAGCTTGGACCTAGGCTGGGAATATAGCTCAGCTAGGAGAGGGCTCGCTGAGCATGGATAAAACCTTCAGTCCAACACTGCATCAAACCAAGTGCTGGGATCCCAGCACTCCAGAGGTGGAGGCAGGGAGCGTATCGAGCTTGAGGCTAGCCTGGGCTACATGAGATCCTGTCTCCAAAAGGAACAACAATAACAAAAAACCCAGACTCTAATTTGAGTCTAAGCATTTATTAACTTTAATTGCTAATTACCACTCACCGGCAAACAACCCCAAAGGGGTTTCTTGCCCTCTGTGGTCCTCAGTTTCCAAATCTGCAGAGCCACCTTTTAAGCCCTTTGCAGCACTGAGGCCTGCGATCCCCTGACTAACCACACCAAGCCCATAACAGATTAAGTTTGTGAGGGAGGAAAATGAAGGGAGGTGACAGGCTTTGCTGTCTACACTGGGATGTAGTGAGACCCAGAGACAGGTATTCCTCTGAGGATTGGGAAAAGGTCTGCATGGTGTCAGGGTTTCAGCCTACAAGACCCCAAGGCTTGAATCCTGTCCTTGCCTCTTAGCTCTGTGGGCTTGGGAGAATGAATTTGTAAAGAGGTTCAAGTTCCTCAGCCGATTCCATCCATCCATCTGCAG